ACGTGCTAATACTCTTGGGAAATGTATGAATGTTCTTCTCTCTCCAGCTATGGGTAAATTGCAGGACAGATTGGGTTGCGTATAGCTTTGGATGACAACCTACTGCGGGAAAAACCTTGCCTCGTCATGCATGTATCGAAAGATACAAGATCGTCTAAGCGTGTATCACGCATGGCACATAACTGAACCTTATGAAAATTGAGTTGTAATAGAGTGGGGGGGGGTGCATATCATAGATTAAGTAGTGTATAATAGACTTGGAGGGGAAACTTGACATTTGCATCTGTCCTGTACATATATACATATAATCTTTCAGTAACTTATTCATTAATTGCCATATCTCTCGAGAGAAAATAACTGACCATTCGAATCTGATGTTTGTTTTCTTTAACATAGGTGTAATTATTCTTGTGAAAGTACTCGAGTGGTTTCTCGTTTCTATCTCTAGAGTTTACAGAGTTGTCCTTCTCCTAGACTGGTTATCAATCAAGGCGAAAGGGTCCAGTTTTCCTGGATTCCGTCAATAATGATTAATTCCTGACCTTTGGCATTCCATTTTTCCTTATTTCGATTACATAACCACGAGCAAAAATACAAGTGTATTTAACTGTAAAAACTGAAAAAAATTAATGTTAAACCAAAAATATTTCTCGGGGGCATTAAAGTTATTAAAGAAAATGCAGCAGCTATAAGGGGTGGAGTATTGATAAAGACAATGGGTGGAAAACCGAAACGACGCTCACTTTTCCAGGGTTTAGAGGAAAAGGGACTTAAAATATAACCGTCATTACTATTTCCTTTTTTCTTCCTTAGAGTGGATCGATTTCATTCTAGCAGCAATAGTCTAAGGGTGATTTAACTTACTAGAAAATGTTAAAATTGTGTAAAAAAAAATTATATAAAAACTATTTATAAAAAAAAAAATACAAAAACTCTAAGAAAAACTAATTTAGAATATTAAAGAGTTACTAACACGGACTTTTTTAAACAGAAACCACTAAAATGAAGACGGTTTATAAAAACAAAAAGATGTTCAAGTCTGTTACGAAAACGTTTCAGTTGCAAACAGTCAACACTCAGATGCGACAGACTGTTTCATATTAAAAAAATCATTTGGAGGGTGGCCTGACTGCGTTTAGCATGAAGCAGTCGGTCGCCTCTGAGTGTTGACTGCAATGTTCACCTTTATATATATATATATATATATATATATATATATATATATATATATATATATATATATATATATATATGTGTTATATAGAGAGAGAGCGAGAAGAGAGATTGTGCCTGTATGTATGCATGTTTGTACAAAAACCGAGCACACGTTTTTTTATTATATCTCCTTTACCCACTTTCAATATTTGGCGAGATGAGAAAAAAGACGGAAAGAAATTCCATCGCCTTAGCTAAAAGAAAACATTGTGCTCAAAGATATTGACTGCCGAGCAGAAATAAAAGTCAAAACAAATTTGCGACATTTGTGAAATTTTCTTTGGGCCAATGAAAACGTTTTATATGTAAAAGTAATGTTTGCCTGTACAACAAGTGAGATCACGTCTTTTTATGAATTGGTGGAGAACATTAAATGATTTATTAATAAATTAATAAAAAAAAAAGATCAGAAAATAAAACAAATTAGTAAAGCAGAATAAAAAAAGAAGAATAGATAAAGAAGAAGAAAAAAAACAACCTAAAATCGAACGGACACATGCCGAAAATCAGCACTGAATTGTAAAATACAAAACCTAATTAAAACTAAGACATTAGTGAATAAGAAAAGCTTTTAATTACTTTTATGAATAATGCTAAAGTTAAGGATAATATTGTCCGAAGACAAAGAAATTTTTGAAGAGAAATGAATTTTTATAAGAATTGTTTACTTTTTTTTACAAAAATTTACAATTTTAATTACAATAATTTATGTTAAATCTTTTAAAATTCAGTTTCGATGTACGTTTATTAAGTAAAACTATTTTTACTAATCATAAATCTAACTAAATCTTATTATAATCTGCAAACGGCTAGTATTTACAAAAAGAATTTTACATTGTTTCTGGATAAACATGCCTTCACACACACACACACACACACACACACACACACACACATATATATATATATATATATTTATATATATATACAGTGTAACCCGGATATAAGAGAGATTTTCTCTGGTCCCAAATTAGAGCCTGTGTTAATGTATATAAAATAGACCAAACCCGGATATAAGAGACTTCCTCTCCAGTCCCGACAACTCTCTTATATCCGGGTTACACTGTATATACATGAAGGTTCATACATGACATTACATATTCACATGTTTTAATAGTTTTTTTAACTGACATAATATAAAAATTAATAATAACATAAAATTTCATAAGAGATGTACGTAAAAATTGTAAGTAGCTCTTTTATTAATGAAATTTTATTTTATATTAAGTTTTATATTATCTTAGTTATGAATTTAAAATTTTATTGTTATATAGCATTTTAAATTTATTATTTTTCCAGAAAACATCTTCAAACGTAAGTCTATAAAGCTAAAGTACCTAATAATTAATAAAATATTAGATTGCTTAAAATATTTATTAGTTTATAAGCATTACTGGTTAGTTAAATAAGTTCACTTAAAATTCGTAAAATTTGTCATTTTTCTTCATCCATTCGATGACTTCTGATTTCAACTGTCAATACCATCAATACCATCAATCAAAACCTGACAACCAAGTCACCGTAGTTAAAAATGTTTTTCTTATTTTCTACTCCGTTTTTTTTTCTGCTAAAAATGTTTGTTTCAAATTAGATTAAGTAAACTTAAAATTTTCTAATGTTACCTTTGAAAAATGTGTATTTTACTTTTACATGATTCTTAAAACGGAGAATTTAGCTTTTGTTTACAAATATCTCAAAATGGCAGACATCATCGATTTTACTGAAAAAAATGTTTATTCCAATGAATATAAATTTGGTTTTAAATACACCAATGTATTTTGTTTACTGGATATAGTAAATTTATTCCTTCACCTTTAAATTAAAGCTAAAAAGAAAGCTTCAAGAACGATTTTTTCATTTTTTTAAATTAATTTTAACCTATAGGTATGACATTTTACGGTAAATTAGTGGACATCGCTATAAGAGTATAATATACTCTTGAACAAAAAACTTAAAAATGGCCATTTATTCATAATAATGGATAATAAACGCATAATAAACGTAATACGGCAAAAATAATTTTAAACATTGCATATGTGGTAGTACAGAAAATGAGGAACAATATCAAACAAGATTTTTAGCAACTCAAGACAAAGCAAATTCAAGGAGTTCTCCAAGATGAGTTATGGACGTTACAGGAACACAGAGAGAAACATATTTGCAGCCCGAAAGTGCATATCATTTTTCACATCGGGCAGTTGAAACACCAGAACAAAGGGAAGAAAGACTAAAAGCCGGAAAAAAACAGGAGGGCTGCAGAAGTGCCCGATTCTCCAAAAGTGGAATATTCTTCCTAGATGATCCTGGAGGGACAGGAAAGACTTATGTTACTAAGTTGCCAAAGTTCAACAGCACAAGGACATAGATTTGGCAATAGTCTTATCTGGTATTGTTGCAAATTTGCCGCCAGGTTGACTGATCTGCACATTCAACATTTAAGTTTCCACTGAACTTGACTTCATCCGATAATCCAATTTTCGGTATCAGCAAAACCTCTGAAATAGCCCAAGTGCTAAAGAGGTTCAGGTTCATTGTATGTGATGAATGTACCATGGCACAGAGGGCAGCTCTGGAAGCATTGGACCGAACCATGAAAAACATTATGGATTGTCAGTCGCCTATGGGAGATATAAGTACTGCTGCTATCTGAAGACTTTGATGGTCATTCCAAAAGGGACAAGAGCATGTCTCAAATATTCTCTATTGTGGCGATGTATTCAAACGTTCATTCTGAGTACCAACATGAGAGTACAATTATTTGAAGATCAGCTGTCAGATCAGTTTTCCTGTAACATTTTGAGACTTCGCAATAGCAACGTACCGTTAGATGCCAATTGAACGATGATCATTGTCCCGGTCTGCAATGTTGTCAGTATTGCTGATGAGCTTAAGAACAATGTTTTTCGAAACCTCCAACATAATTACAAAAACTACAATTGGTTATGTGACAGGGCAATACTGACTCCAATGTACAAAGCAGTTGACAGAATCAATGACCAACTGTTGAAGTCCCCCAGGAAACATCTCGTATCTACAGGCCAATGGATACCATTCCAGATCTGGACAGGTGGTCAATTATTCAACGAATTTTTTTAATTCTTTAGAACTTCTCTGACTACCTTCACATAGACTGGAACTCAAGATGAGGATGCCTAAAATGCTATTACGGAATCTAGACCCACCAAGACTTTGGAATGTCACTAGACTGGTGGTTAAGAAGTTGATGTCACATGTAACTGAGGCAACGGTTCTTACTGGGTATGAAAAAGGCGAAGATGCCTTTATTCTTTTTTCAAAGACAAAGACTATTGTCTACAAAGAAGTATTGTAATCTAAAAACTATTTAGAGATATATTTGTGTTTGAATAAATGTATTTGAAGTTATATTGTTGATATAGATTTATTTTTAACTTTGTAAATCCTGCTAGTAAGGATAAATTTTGTTTGCAAAGTCAAAAAAGATTCGACCGTACTCTAATAATAAAGGGATGGATATCTGGGATAAGAAAGATTGCTGTTACTACTACTACTACTGCTGATGTTGCTGCTGCTAAAAAGAATCCATAAAACCCCATGAGAATTGTCTCATGACTACAAATGCCCATTACAGCTATAGCTATTTCTCATATATTTGATTTTCTTTCTAAATCTATGAAATGGTCTTCCATATTTGCGAATGTCAATTTCTAAAAATCAGGATATTCTCTCAATAGAGCCCAGGAAACCAAAATTGTCCCAAGATAAGTTTTCTGATTTTCTAACTTATCGTTTTTTTCTTTTCACAGGTACTTTTTGGGCCATTTCTGACTTACATCATGATTTTACATACGGAGTGAAAAAAGAACCCGAATCATGTCGTAGTGTCATTCCTTATACACAACTGGGCATGTTTGGCGATTACGATTGTGATACACCGTGGATCATGCTTAACCAAACGATTTACAGCATGAAGCAACTAGCCCCTGATGTTGATTTTATCCTTTGGATGGGGTAAGATTTCAATTAGTCTTTAAAGTGTCAGTAGTATTTAAAAAGTCAATCTGTTTGTTGATGAGTACAATAGTCCGAATAATGTAAATAGTGTACGTAATACCTCATCTCAGAAATATAGACAGATACTGAAGGGCCGAAATGTTGTAATAAATATGGCGACAAAGATGAGGACAATAGTCCGAATAATGTAAATAGTGTACGTAATACCTCATCTCAGAAATATAGACAGATACTGAAAGGCCGAAACGTTATAATAAATATGGCGACAAAGATGAGGACAATAGTCCGAATAATGTAAATAGTGTACGTAATACCTCATCTCAGAAATATAGACAGATACTGAAGGGCCGAAATGTTGTAATAAATATGGCGACAAAGATGAGGACAATAGTCCGAATAATAGAAATAGTGTACATAATATCTCATCTCAGAAATATAGACAGAGACTGAAAGGCCGAAACATTGTAATAAATATGGCGACAAAGATGAGGACAATAGTCCGAATAATGTAAATAGTGTACAAAATAGCTCATCTCAGTAATAGACAGATACTGAAGGGCCGAAACATTGTGATAAATATGGCGACAAAGATGAGGACAATAGTCCGAATAATGTAAATAGTGTACATAATATCTCATCACAGAAATATAGATAGATGCTGAAATACCGAAACATTGTAATAAATATGGCGACAAAGATGAGGACAATAGTCTGAATAATGTAAATAGTGTACATAATATCTCATCTCAGAAATATAGACAGATACTGAAAGACCGAAACGTTGTAATAAATATGACGACAAAGATGAGGACAATAGTCCGAATAATGTAAATAGTGTACATAATATCTCATCTCAGAAATATAGACAGGTACTGAAAGGCCGAAATGTTGTAATAAATATAACAAAGATGAGGACAATAGTCCGAATAATGTAAATAGTGTACATAATACCTCATCTCAGAAATATAGACAGATACTGAAAGTCCCAAACTTTGTAATAAATATGGCGACAAAGATGAGGACAATAGTTTGAATAATGTAAATAGTGTACATAATACCTCATCTCAGAAATATAGACAGATACTGTTTCTTGAGTGTTTGAGTTTCTTGCTTTATGTTATCTCCTTTAAATTTATCCCAAATGTTTTGAAGTGTAATGCCGCTTAATATTAAATTCTTTAAAAACTGAGACGAATTCAAAACATATTAAACTCATTGGTTTGTTATTTTCTTCAACAAATTTTCCACTTTTCCAAGAATTTTCTTATTTCTACAGATTTTTTTTTTTTTTTTTTTTGATGAAGTGCTCTCTGCACAATTCTACTTTGAAAATTCAATAAATCCTTTGATTCGCACGTGCGTTTACAGTCGCTGAATTATCACAGGTCGAAATCAGAAACTGAAAACCAAATCATTTCCTTTTCTTTCTTTGAGATAGTGTCCTGAATATAGATGGCAATTGTGAGACTTTTGAATATTTGGATTGATGTAGATTGACGTTGAAAATGACATGGAAGACTGGCGTTAGCAATTATTTTTCTCGACATATATCCACTATGCAATAGTCAACAAGGGAGGTTAGTCGGGCGTGTAATAATGATTACATTTTGTCACCAGCTTCCCCTAACCTGCTTTGAGTGAGTGAGAGAATGTGTATGATCAAGTGAGGACGAAACAAAATTTGAATTAACGTTATTTTCCTTGTGATATTAGGTGAGCCATTCAGAAAACCGCGCGGACCACATTTGGCTCAAGACTGTATCATGAACTACAAATGATAGCATGATTGGACTGGCGCCATTTAAAAACTAAAAGTGTCAAGTTTTCCGCTGTTAATTTTATTTCACGATAAATTTTGTACAGAAATACTAGATAGGTTGTAAGAAGACAGATTTGATAACCGGCTTGTTTTTAGCGATGATGCGACTTCCACGTAAGTGGCAAAGTAATTACGCATACCACACACATATGGATTACTGAGAACCCTCATGTGCGAGTTCCCCCACCCCACCCCTAAGATAAACGTTTTCTGTGCCATATCAAAGAAACGTGTGTATGGACCATTCTTCTTCTTCTTTGAAGAAGTTAGACAGTACCTGAACACTACTCTGCATGACAGATGGTCCAGACGTCCCGAACAGACGGATCGCGTGTTCCTGCGATGGTCACTTAGGTCACCAGACCTTATGCCATGTAACTTCTTCCTCCGAGGGTATGTCAAACATCTCGTGTACATAACTCGTGGCGCTCATATTGAACATCTGTAAAAACCTGTACAGAGACGTGTAAATATTAGCTTTCAAGATATATAAATTGTTTTGATATACTCAATAATTATTAAGGTATACAATTCGTCATTTGTCACAGACTTTTGAAGCAACATGTATTGTGTTATATAAAGATTTATTTTGTATTTATTGTTGTATAAGAGTAAGTGTCGCTGTTGACACTATGGTTTGAACGTAGATCTCCAGTGTGCAACGTGGGTGATTCCATTATTAAGTAGATCACGAGAGCATAAACTAAGTAAATAAATACAAAATAGCGTAAAAATCACTGTTCACACTTCTTGTCTATCCACTATTAACTATTTGTTCACTCTCTCTGTACGGAATACAGTTCTCTTCTGATCATTATACTATTTGGCGATTACTACTTGAACAAGTATTACTAGTGCGGATATTATTGGAAGGCGTTACTACTAGTACCGGCGTCTACAAAGTCTCGAACATAACGAGCATTTTGAAAGTGATAACGAGATTTCGTTTAACATAACGAAAGTGACAAGCGAAGTCGTCCAATATCAAAAAAGTGGTGACGAGAATTCGCAAGCAATCACAAAATTTATCAACACTGTGTTCTTTTGATCATTAGATAAGGACAATATCAATCCAAACCAATTATATTAATACATGATGGGAACAGATGTTGTGAGAAGATAACTCATCCATAACTGATGGCCTATTAAACGCCATATGTTAACTAAAAATAAAACGACTATAAATCTTGTTTATGTTTTATGTATAAAGCGAATAGACAGGACCCAAAGAAGTAATACATGCTAACTATGTTGTTAGCGAAAAAGTGGCAAAACATTTAGAAAATTATTCCGACGGTGAATTTGTAAAATTATTTTTTTTTTTTTTTTTGTCAGTGGCTGAAATTTTACGTTTTACTAAAATTCTCAAAAAAAATAAATTCAGAGGCCCTACGAAATATAAAAAATATAAAAATGTTCACAAAGTGTATTCATACTAAGTACGTACTACTGACACAACTAAAACGATATTAGCGTTATTATAAATCTAAATGAACTTGCTATATTAAATTGAATGGTGTGCGGCAATGCAATGAAGAAAAAGTCAATGTCATGAAGATATATAACGTTTGCCCTTGATCCCGTGAACGAAGTAGCGAAGGGCTATGATAATACTTTTCATTTCCTCACACTAGCCAATCACAGGTCAAAGTCAGGATATGGTGGATTTGCTGTGAACTTACTCATGCTGAAAATAGAACTGAACTCTAGATTAAATGACTTCAGAGCTAGAGAACCTGACTTTTATCTTTTTGGGAAGCTCTTTAATGTTGATTTTGAAAAAGTGCTAAAGGAATTGCAAATGGAGCTAATTGAGCTGCAAAGTTATCTATTTCTTCAGCAAAAATTTAAAGAGGTATCTTTGATGCATTTTGATGGAACTCTGCCCAAAGAGAACTACCTGAAAATAGTGTATAAGGTATGCCGCCATCTTTGGTAATACGGATAAATGTGAAAAACTATTTTCTAGAATAAAAATAATTAGGTCAAACATTAAATCCAGACTGACTGATATTCATCTGGAAGACAATTTACGAGTTGCAATATCGCAAATTCCTGTAAATCTTGAGAAAATTATAGAAAATATACAACGCCATTTTTCTCATTAAAATTCATGAGTAAAATATTTCTATTTACATTTTAGTGTCCTACCTCAATTTAAAAATATTTTATTTATGATATAATTTCATTGGTTAAAAAAAGATTCCATTACATTTCCTACGTAACAGCACTGTGATATATAAAATCTGTGCAAAAAGCACATCACAGAGTCTTGATATTTCTCTAAATATTTATCTGACTCCTGATTGGTCAATTACTCCTAATATCATGTTTTCAATTACGTCCAAATTGTAATGACCTAGTTTCTGACCTGAACGAAAATATTTCGCCAAAAATCAGTCTGTGTTTCGAGCCCATCACGTGACTTGATAACAAATAAATACGAGCGACATTTTCAACACTTTCTCTTTTTGTCTTCTCTCACAAACACAAGATGTAACGTTAGAGAGATTTCGTTTGACCCTTTTGGAGTAGATGCTGTGATACACGCACACACGTACGTACGAACATTGCACATGTCTGAACTCGTCTCATTCACTCCTTACAAAGAAACTTATTCAACTTTATCAGTTTTGCCTCTTGTCAATATTCATCAGCGAGAAATATTACTTCAAAATCCTCTGGAGCTATAAATTACGATTCAATATATTCTCAGCTTTCCAGAATTCTTTCATTCATATTCAACTCTCTTTGCTGAACAACAAAAAGCGGTAAATTTATTCAACTTTTCGATACTCAAGCGAATATTACATTTTCCCTCAATCAACAAGTTTCTTTGAACTCCTCTTACACCAGAATTTCAGCCTACAACAACTTCTTTTCTTTCCATTGAAACTTACTATTATTTCATAAATTGAAATCTTTTCTGTGAGTAAAGATAAAAAAAGTACATATTCCTTAAAGTCTTAGCTAATTCAAATAACAGTTAAAGGTAGGCACATCCACTGAATTTTTAATACCTAAATTTTAAAATTAAATTTATAAATGAAAAAGCATTCTTGAGGATTTCATTCTAGTTTTAATTGAAAGCTAAATGACTAAATTTATTATTTCAAATAAGTATAATATTCAGGTGTATTTTAGATAGAAATTATATAGATTGGAATCTCTATCTATA